CATAAAGCAGGGCGGCACCAAGACAGACAAGCTGGAGAAGCTCATGATCCGCATCGGCATCTTCACGCTGCTCTACACGGTGCCGGCCAGCATCGTGGTGGCCTGCTACCTGTACGAGCAGCACTATCGCGAGAGCTGGGAGGCTGCGCTCACCTGCGCGTGCCCGGGCCCCGACGCCGGCCAGCCGCGCGCCAAGCCCGAGTACTGGGTGCTCATGCTCAAGTACTTCATGTGCCTCGTGGTAGGCATCACGTCGGGCGTCTGGATTTGGTCCGGCAAGACTGTGGAGTCGTGGCGGCGCTTCACCAGCCGCTGCTGTTGCCGCCGGCGACGGGGCCATAAGAGCGGTGGTGCCACGGCTGCTGGGGACTATGCCGAGGCGAGCGCAGCGCTCACGGGCAGGACTGGGCCGCCGGGCCCTGCTGCAGCCGCTTACCACAAGCAGGTGTCCTTGTCGCACGTGTAGGAGGCCGCAGCAGAGGGACGGGGCCACGAGTGAGGGAGGGGGGGTTGTTTTGTTTGGTAGCTCTGCCAAGGTCACTTCCGTTTACCTTCATGGTGCTGATGCCCCCTCCTGGGGCAACTTGGAGAGTGGGGAAAAGGGCCCTTTCTGGGGAGTTGCTAGCTGTCTCACGTGTATCCTATTTTGCGTTTCTTACTGTCTTCTTTAGGGAAACCCTGTTTTTAATTTATATGTATTTTTTCTTAATTTTTAACTTTGTTGCATTTTGGCAACAAAATTGACCTTTGCTTTGGGGGCTTTACAATCCTAAGGTTGGCATTATAATGAAGTTCCACTTGGTTCAGGTTTCTTTGAACTGTGTGGTCTCAATTGGAAAAATATATTTCCTATACTTGTGTCTTTTAAAAAAAAATGTGAACAGTGAAAGTTTGGGTTGCTATGACTGGGAAGTTGATGGGTGTGCTTTTTCAGCTTGTTTCTCCTTCCATGGCTTAACTTGTCCAAAATGTTTTAAGGTGAGCTCCCTGTCCCTGCTTGTAGTGCTAAGTGAGGGGAAACTCCTAGTCATACCAAGGAGTGGGGAGCATAATGTGGTTAGGGCCTCCCAAAAGTGACAAGATTGGGGAGTGTTTAGTGATTTTGTGTTCATTTTAGCTTTGTTTAGCGAACTTTTGGTAATCACTCTTAACAGTGCCAGCGTTTTGAATAAGTTAGAGACTGCATTATAGGGTCCAAGTTTAAATGTTTGGAATAGCGAGAACCTAAATGATGAAAATTGGTTAATATTGAAATCTAGACTAATAAGGTGGGAGCTCAGTGCTAGAGGAGTGAGTGGTACTTAAGCTTTAGTGAACCCATTTTTTTTTTTTTACAAAACAACTTATAATTTTGGTAAAAGTAAACCCACTCCTTCTGGAAGTACTTAGTGATACTTGCTAAAGGGGCTTGCTTTGTAGATTAAGGACTAAACTGAATATACCTCCAGTAATTAAGTAAATTTCCAACATTTACCTGCTCCACCCCCATCCCACCTCCTTTATCATGTTAAACAGTCTTTTTGCTTTTCTTATTCCTCCTCTTCTGGAGAGCTGTGATTAGAAGCCACACCCACCCTTGAATGAGGAGCTGGAAGGGGGGCAGGGGGCGGAGGGAGGCTGGTTGGCTACCTGTGAACAAACATTGGCAGCAATGAGGGAAAATAAGTGTCCCTGGACTTTGGACTAGTGTGTAGCCAGATATTCCAAAAGCGGCAAGACATTGCTTTCTGAGGCCTCTGAAAACAAAATAAGACCCAGAACACATTTGCATAAGCTTTTAAAATATGGATCTGTTAACTGCTATAGTTGGAGGAAAGCTGTTTCTTCCAGCCTCACCTCAGTGTATTTTTCTTTTCCTCTTTTTCTGAGAAAGCCTGTATATTGATGAGTGGGCTCGCACACGTACACACATGTTGCTGTTAGAAAATTCTGTTTGCTTTTCTAATCTGTTTAAGCATTCATATATGAAAGCCTATATATTGATAAATACACACACACACACACACACACACACAGACACACAGAGGTTTCTTTACTATTAGAAAATTCTGTTTGCTTTC